CCTTGGTAGAGAGAGAGAGCGGCGAGAGCACGAGCATTGCTGAGCGAATTTTGAAAGGCAATCATTTGAGAAAACTTTTCATAAGAGCAACGATCTCTACTTTTTGCACTGTCTGTCGCTTAATCGTTTCAAAATTATATTTATGAACCTGTGGATATATTTGAGCAACGTAACTTTATTATCTAACACAATCGAATAGCTAATAAAAACGATGTTTGCAGCCAATGTCAGAAATTTTGATCAAAGCTAATTAACTCGATTGGAATTCGCCATAAAAAATAATATTCATAAAAGATTCTGTTATAAAATGAATTTCTTTCTTATTTTTTTATGACTTCATGGAAAAGGTCAATGGAGCAAAGATTTTTTGGCATTCACACAATTCTTATGGCATATTTATATTACTTATAATTTCAATACATTTCTTATAAAGTCTTATATAGTATCGATTATTCCAAGGCAATCAAAGTTTCCCCGGCAACGATACGATAATGAGTCTTTTCACATATTGGCTAAGCATTTTTGGCTTCGACTCTTATTTCATAGTTCCTTTGGCTTGCACTCGTTGATTGTCCTATAAAGTGTTCAGATTTCGATCAGTTAAGAGTTTATCTGATATAAAAGAAAGGCGAGAGACCTGAATACATTTTTTGTTTACACAATTCAAGATCTTTAATGTAGGCAGATATATCTAGAGCTACAAAGTTGTGGCCAGTTAAGTGCCTACAGATTCCCTCTCAGATAAAACTCTTCCTGCTCTGTGAACGTTATTTCTGATCGATTTTGTCTTGTAAATTCTGATTGAATTTGCCATTTAAATGAATGCCAAAAATGTTTTCAAACACACCAAAAAAACAATAAGTGAAAAGCGCGCATGCTTCCCACTAGAACTCATCAGCTAAATGAGTTGAAAAAAAAAACAAATCTCACACCTGTTTCGCGTATTTCTGTTTTGTATTCGCATCGCTTTTTTAATATTTTTTATTTAGTACAGCCGATCTGTTTACCAGAAATATATGAATTATAAATATTTCTTCGGCCATTAGGCAAATATTTTGACACTTATCTGGCACGTGTCAGCTAAAGTCCCATCGAAGCTGTGCAGATGCCCAAAGCGATCTTTTCCCTCTCTTCAATTTAATATTAAATGAACTCTAAAAATAAATCTTATTAGAGATCCAATTATGTTTGTTGTCAACAAACAAGATTCGCCAATTCGTGTAAGCGATCTATACTGCATATGAATATATCCTATATACATGACTGTATATATGTATATCTGTGTGGCTGGTAAATAATGCTCAATTTGGAAGCTGATTGATTCGTACACCTGCTAGCAGAAATGTTTTTGCGCAGCTCTCGAATGGATTCGCCTTCCCAAAGGGAAGGAAACACCAAGTGCCAGAGGCATTTTTTTTGTTTCTCATTTTTGTTGTTGGTATTTTTGCCACACGACGCGCTGCGCTGCGAGGCGACGTTTGGTGACGCTTTTCGGTTCCGCAAAATGCATTTTTAGCCGGCTAAAGCTGAGAGAGCGAGAGGAAGGGAGAGACAGAGAGGGGTAGCGCCAAACAACTAGAAATAGAACTGCAACATGTACGAGGAGAGGCATTCGTCGGGCTAGTACTTAATCTTTGCGATTTATAGCCAGGCCGACTTTCCATTATTTTTAACGTTTTGCTTGTCGTAGTAGTGTCTAGTGTAGTGTCTATGTAGTGCGGGCATATACACACACACACACACACACACACATATATATATATATATATATATATATTCATGTATTTTTAGTATATGTTTTGTATACTCTGCTGCATTCCTGTCATGTCTTGTTGTTGCGCATCCGTAAGAGACTTGCAGCAAGTTTAGAAAATGTTTCACTTCATACAAAATACGATCGTAACTGTTCGCAATATTATATATATATATATATATGTATGAAACTGGCTAAGGTTTTGTGCCTCTATTCTAGTGTTATTTTATAACTATTTTCAGCTCTCTGAGCTTCTGTCTATAACTGTAACATCCAATCAAGCTCTATAAATTGTCTCAACTCTCAAGTCAACTGAAAAAAAAACCGATCAAAAAAGATTTTTGATTCTAATTCAGCCAGGCTAGGGTATTTTCTAGCCGATCACAATCAGTATGTGCTCTGTTATTTTTGGGTAGCGGCTCTAGCTCGACGCTTGTCGTTGGCAAACGCGCAATAAATTGATTTCTAATACCGTCTGTCTCGGCTGTCTGCATCAATATTAGCAATACGAATGAAATGCGAATCGGCTTCTTAATTGGGATTAGGCATAACGAGCATTTCCGTCACATCTAATAAGTTGCCAGAGGCGAAAGGTCAATGCAGTGCTACAAAGCTACAATTCTGAAACTTATTTAAAACGTTACTAAAGTATATAGAGTAGATAGATTAATGACATTACATAGAAATTATGTGAGTTGAGCTTATTACAACGTATCTGCAGTACTATCAGAAAAAAGATAAAGAAAAGTTAAAGTCAAACTATTTAAACCACTTTACTTTAGTTGCGCATATTATAGGGTATCTCTAGTAACATCGTAGTCGTTAAAAAATAGGATTTATTAAATATATCACATGTTGATTCCTGTATACGATAATTATTAAGGTAGCGCATATTTAAGGATATCTCTAGCACCATCCTTAACCAGACTGAATTGTTAATGACTTTTATAAAACATCTCATTTTATCATCTATAATTTCCATTACATAAATATTATTTGAGTTCGGCATTTTACAGGGTATCTGCTGCACGAATACGCCTTACACAGCTGCCAGCTTGTTAAGGTTATTTATGAAGCTCATCTCATACTCTTTCTTTTAACTGCATTATAAATATACCCAGTCATACACAGTCATACCTAGCCATACCCAGTCATACACAACCATACTTGTGCCACATGCATTCACACGAGCACACATCAGGAGACGATGCGCTCATTTCGCTGCGACATAAAAATACAGAATGTAATAAATATAAAACTGAACTGAATAAGTGGTATATAAACATATATATATATATAACACATAAGCAAATGTAATATATTCTTGTGTCTCTGCATTTTTTAAAAATATATTTTTATTAATACCTGAACTTTTATTATGCGTTTTGTGCAATTTTAATCGCTGCCTGAACAAAGTCAACAGAATTTTGTTTGTCAGTTGTCTGAGATGTCATTACAACAGAGTGAGTGAGAGAGAAAGAAAGTGGAAGAGAAAGAGGAAGCTCGAATGCTTTTCTTGTCTGTCGCGCTGATCTGAAGTTCTGGCTAAAATATATATACAAATTAAATATACAAAACAAGGTACATCAAAAGCCATTTTGCTTCAATCTGTACAAGAAAATGTACCAAAGATGGCACATTTGTAAATGATATAATCGCTATGGTACAAAAGAGAGTCTAGCAAAAAGAGGCTGAGTGCTGAATTTTGGATATTTGGCATAAAATCCTGTTGCAAGAAATTTGCTACTAGGAGGTACATTTGTAAATGAAATTAACATTAATTAAATCATTGAAATGTACCTAAGAAGGTAAATCTGTTGACTCCATTCTAATTTTGGTACAAAATAATACTAGAACCAAATGTACCTTTATAAGTAAACTTATTATTATGGTACCATTAAAAGCAAATGTACCTAAAAAGGTACTTTTGTATTGTATGGTGGGCTGATATCAAAATCATTTCTATATACATCCATATAATATGTATACATATCTATATAAATTTTAGAGGCTTTGAGTTTAAAAGAAGAGCTTAACTCATTGTATGATATCTTATTAAAATGCACTTCATTAAATTCAAGATCATTTCAGAAAGGGTATACGATCTTCGATATTTGCCAGTTAAGGTAGGAATTCAAGGAAATATGGAAAATAATATCACACACAGCATTTACATAAACAGTGTACCATTGTTTCTTTTGTTGGTACTTTGGCAAAAAAAAAAGAGTGCTTATAATATATGTATATATATAGATATATTTGTATATATGGCAAAAACATGCCATTTGCACGCTGAGCGATTAAAATAAATGTTCTCGAAATTGTAACAGGAAGACATTTAACCAAAAGTGTACAAAAAATTACACAAGGCTGACCGAGTCTCAAAAACAAACGACGGCATTTAAAATACGTACGAATATATCAATACAAAATGAGCTAATTATGTATAGCGCTATATATAAACTATGTATATATGTATACGGTGCACTGTGCGACGTCAAATGATAAGAACTCGTGTTGATTAATAGACTCGAGTTTGTTTGGCTAGACAGAAAACAACTTTTAGCTGTTCTACCGCGAGATTAGAAAGCTATAGCCAGGTTGAGGTTATGTTGAAAGAGATGTATATATTATAGCAGCTGTACTTCACATATATTAGAAATTTCAACTGGAATTCGTGGGAATATAGAAATATATTCAGTATCTTCATGATTTTCTATTTATATTACGAATTCTACTTAAGCTGCAGAACAGTGAGTCTTCAGGGTCTTCAATATAAATATTCTCATAATATATATCCAATATATCCAATATATATATATCTTATATAATATGATATACTGATTCACAGCTGTTTTCAGTTAGAAGCTCAACATTTAGGAAACAAATATTGGAGTTAAATAAAATATCTTTAGTTTTGATATTCCACAACTTCGCGATGCATCGAAATTGCCAAAAATACCATATAAACTTTTGATTTTATATACGATTCTTTGTGCAACAAGAAATATAATTTTGGGCTTGTTCAGCTCATTTGGTCAACCACTATTTTGCATCTTTCCCAGTTTTCCCATTTGACCGTTACATTAGCCTTTGCTACATTTCCCAGCTAAAAGCTGCACAAGCTTCTGGGTGGCTGCATCGACTAATGTAAAAGCTTTCATAAAACTTTTACGGTTAGCGCCACCTGCCGTGCGCCAATAAATCGCAATGCTGTGAAAAAGCTTTATGGAGCTTTAGGACTTACCTTCACACTTCAGGCCCTGTATGAAGAAACCGCCCATCAGGGAGCCGCAATGATCACAGAACGTCGGCGACATGAAGGTATGCGGCTTGAATCGGTGCGGCATATCGATCTTGAACCGTTCGCGCAGCAGCTGCAGATGGAGACATATGATTAGGTGTATTACTTGACATGCGAATCGATTGACACTTACGATTGTGCTGGCGGAGTTGAAGACGGAGCCGGAACACTTGCCGAGCAGCTTCTCATGGCATTTTTTGTGCACAACGGTTTGACAAACTGTAAAATATTGATCGATTAATTATCGATAGGTAGCCTGTTGTACTATACTACACTACTCACTGATGCACTGGTAGCCCTGCTTGCCGAAGCCCCACAGAAATAAATTGCAGAACGCACAGAACGTGGGCTGTCGAAAGAATTTGGCCACAAAGCGATGTCCATTGATATCGTGGGTTCTGCAAGAATTTTATGGGTTTGTAGTGACATTTTTGATAGAGCTGAGCATACTTACTTCTGGTGTTTGATGGCGCCGCGGCGATTCGTGATGCTGCGCGGTCGCGTACGTCGATCCACATAGCCGCAGCTAACAGCACCACCAACACCACCGCCCACTCCACTATCCCTGTCCCTGTCTCTGTCTCTGCTGTACGACTCCTCTTTGGAGTGCTGGCGAGGTAGCTCGAAGGAATGCTGCTTGCCATAATGATAGTGATTGTTATAGTGATCATCACAGTCACGTTCCCGTTCGCGGTCACGATCACGGCGTGCACCGCTCGCACTGGACCCGCTGAGTCCGCTGCCAGCGCCGCTGCTGCTGGATGAGCTCGGCTTATAGCGCAACTGAATGAAGCGGGAGGGAGAAAGGCAGAGAGACAGAGAGAGAAATAGATCTTGTTAGTATAATCAATCATTGATAATCGATCAATTTATTGAACTAGTTCAATTCTATGATTTTGAAAATTAAGCTTCGAGTTTGACTAGACTCACAGAAAAGTATTTTTTTTGGAACTAGTACTAGTTCATTTTGATTTTTTGTGTTCAAAATTCAGTTAATCACCAATTTATTTGCTTGAAACTAGATTAATGTTCATAAAGCTCTATATGCTCGATAGTTGTTTTGTGTTTACCAACACTAAAAGCCCGTTAAAAAAAAAAACAAACATTTTCTATGTATTCTATGTAAGCTTGGCTAGGAAAAGTTGACATGTGTAATTTGTTTGCTTGGAACTGGAACTAGTTCATTTCAATGTGTGTGAAATTGTGCAACACTAGCAATCGATTCCATAGAATTTATTCATATGTTGCAAGTATTATATCTTATAGATATATGAGATGGAATTGAATAAAAATTTGGTTAGGTATCTTATCACTTTCTACCATTCTCATCAGTTAGAATTCACAAATTTGTAGAGTTGTGGAACTATAAGCGATCATTGTGAACCCGTAGATCTTAGAGGATCTCCATCTTGTTTGCTCTGCACTCACATCATGACCCTGGAGACGCGACGAGGTGCCGGAGCTGCGCGTACGCTGGCTGCTGTTGGCGCTGTTTGTCTTCTGCTTGCGCACTTGGGCGCGGGTGAACATCATCTTGGTGGGCAGAACGGTAAAGGAACGTCCACGTCCACATTCACAATCAGATTCAGATTCAGATTCAAATTCACGTCCGTGTCCGCTGTCGCGTCAACAGTCCAACGAAAGCTCCACGCGACGGTAACTGGAAGACTACGTATTGCCTCAATTCCGTTTGCGATCCACACTCGCGTACATACCTATGCACATATATACGTATATCTACATATAAGTGTGTGCGTGTGTGCATGTATGTGAGAGTTGAGGGAGTGCAGGCAGGGGCTGCTGTCCGGCTGCTGCTTCTGTTTTGTGTTATGTGTTTAACGATACGAGAGGCGAGTACGAAGCGTATTTCTTGTAAGTATTTATATTAAATAAGATTTTCAATATGGTTGTTGTTGTTGTTGTTGTTGTTGTTGTAGTTCTGTTGGCATTTCTTTCAGCTCAACAGCAAGCGACTTTAAAGCCTTGTTGATGGACATCTGCAAACAGAAAGAAGCAAATCAGAAAGAGAAAAAAAATACTTAAACACGCTGAACTTAGTAGAAAAGTCGCTACAAAGATAAGCTCAACTTATATATATATATATATGTTGTATCTTGAGCAGATGTACGTAGCCGTAATGTACACATTTCTAGACTCTGCTCTTTATATTAGATTAGAACACGAGAAATAATTTGTGATTAATGCTGGTTTAAGTTTGTGATTTTTATCGATATCTAATCGAAATTCTGTGCTGATTTTTACTTTCCATTTAAGATAAAGACCGAGTTAAGTTGGCTGCGCTGCGCTTGTAGTCAAGTTAAGTTGGCTGCGCGTGCATGAGGTGATCAACAGACCATAATAAAGCATAGAAATAATTGCGCTCGTACTTCCGTCTGGATGGAGTTCAATAAATTATTGAAAGCAAATAAATCTTGAAATTAGCTCAAGTCGGTGAGCTTCCTGTGCATATATAAAAAAGAAGACATGAAACAGCAGCAAGTGCTAGTTCATGCGGCAAATGGGATCGTGCCTAGGCAGGAAATGCTCAATCGCATGAGTCTCTATATACATATGAGTGAGTCTGTGTGTGTGGGTGTGGGTATGTTTACAAAGTGTCTGTGGGAAAGGCCTTCAAGCAGAAAGGGCACTTTGTCACGTATTCCAAACACCGATTGATAGACTCTGATTGATGCACATACGTACATCAACTATATTCAATCGGAGCTATGTCTTGCTGGGATGGATCACTCGGTAAACAATTGACTCACATTGTTATTGTTTTTCGAGTACATGTATCAAATGTTATTGTTTATGTGCTCGATTCTAATTAAATGTTGTTGGCTGTCCAATTTCTGGGGAAGTTCATTTGAGAAATGGCAAAAACAAAATAAAACGAAAACGAAAAAAAAACAAACAAACAAAATTTAAGTTGCGATATTTGACGGCATTTTGTTTTGCTCCAATGCTCATTTATATACAATATATTTATACCAAAATGTATTTGCACGCTTTCGCATTGAAGGGCACCCACCCACCCACACACTCAGTTGTGGTTGTTGTTGTTGTTGCATTCGTACTAGGGATTCCACCAGCTCATGTTGGGCCCATGATGAGTCGTCCGCGTCGCTCAAATCTATGAATGTTGTGTTCTTTTTCTTTTATATTCATTTATTTTTGATTTCTGTTCGTGCCACCCAAAATAAGTTTTCGTTTCATTCGAAATTGTTGTTGCTCCCAATATAAATAGAATTAAGTGGCGATTTGTGTGAGATTGCGTGCCAATTGATTGCCGGATATGATTAAAAAAAAAAGTTTAAAAACTGCCAAAACTATGTCTGTTTGCCTTTTGCTTTGAGTAATTAGCATAAAGTTCAAAACGGGGAGAGAGGGAGAGAGCTAGACTGAGAAAGAGATGGGGCAATAGACTTGCATTTGAGATATTTATTATTGCATAGCGTTGGGCGCTTGAGCTGGCTGAAAGCAACTGGAGTGGCTGTAAGCAAAGTCCAAGAGATTGTTCAATAATTTAATATAGATATATACGAGAAATATTCCATATATATATATGTATATATATATATATATATTCAGCAAATTCTATTCTTTATTATAGCCAAGTGTATATAGCTAAAAATCTTTGCGCAAATCTGAGTTGAATACTTAAACATATTTTTATGGGTTTGTTTTGTTGTTGTTTTCTTCTGCCGCATCCTCTGCTTGGCATTGGCATTGCTTCTTACCTAATTTTTATATTACTTCAAGGTTATTTAACAATTATAAAATCAAATAGTATTTTGTTAACTTTTGATATTTCCTAAAAATAAATCTTAAGCTGATTACTTTGAGGCTTCAGACGTTGGCTCTAATTGAGATTCTGTAGAATATGATTTGGAAGTATTTAAAAGAATAACTAGATCTATCTAGTAATATATTCTGAGTATATCTTTTTGAATAGGTTCTATAGGCAGTTCATCTTCATCTCGAATTATTTTCAGTTTTAGCTTATATACGAGTGTATCAGTATCAGGAATAATAATTTTGAAAAAATATTTCAACACTTTCCTTATATACATTAAGATAATTTGTGTTCAAATATGTAATACACAGATCGATTATAGACAATACGATAAATCTCTATGAGAACTACCTCTGCCCAAACAGAATGATATAATTAATAATAAAAGCAATCTTATCAAGAAAACAATTTGATAAGTGAAAAGAGAACATTACCAGATATATATATATATATATATATGTAGATATAGAGTAGCATGTGTCAGCTTCAGCAATGAATCGATTCATTTGCGGTAAACAGTTCTCAGATGCGTTGTGGATTGGCGCTCGTCGAGGCTGGGCTGATGGTGTGCGATGGGATGGGATGGGATTGAATCGGATTGGGCTGAGTTGGCGGCAACTTCGATGGCAACAGCGTCGGCTACTATAAACACATTCCGCATTGGTACAAAACACACACGCACACACACGCGCACACACAGGCAAAGAGGCGTATGTAGACACAACAATAAATATTTCGTAGTGAAATGCTTTTGTTTTAATGCCCCGCAAAACACAGCGCAAATTGACTGGATGATTGTGCGGCCGTTGCGGCGGCTCTGGCAGTCATTTAAATATGTATCTATATAGCTATATGTATATATATATATATATATACTGTGAGATATTTGTAGATGTGTATGTGTGCTTGTGACGTCATCAGAGCCTCGCACTTAGTCGGGCTTCACTTTGGCACATTGCTTGTTTTCTTACTTTTACCACACTGATTTGTGTTGGAAAAAAATTGAAAAAAAATTCAGTATGAATACTTTCTTCACTCTTCACTTTTCACTGAGCATCTGCATCACGCATACGCCGCGTTGTACGTCGGAAGAATTGTCACTTTGTCTTTGATTTTGGAGACTTGCAATTTGTCATTTCGTATTGTTTGTTGTTAGCTGCCTCCTTTTTCTTTTGTATTTTATCTATTTTCCATTTCTTTTTCTTGCATTCATCGAGTCTCTGCGCTCGTTCGGCCAAACAACAAACGTAAAGACGAGCGCCCGAACCAGCGAACCAGCGAACGAACGAACGTGCGAACAAATGAAGAATACAATATTTTGGAAGAACAGAAATATATATATATTTATATATATATATATATGGTGAGGAAAATATATATTTGTTCTGTTCCGCAAATGCAAGGCAAAAAGCAAATCTTACGCTCTGCACACAAAACAAAAAGAAAATATATATATATTTATATATATGTATATGTTTGTATATATGTATATATACAAATATATGAAGAAGTAAAAAGTCCGCTGTTCGACAACGGGCAGCGCACTGAATCCGTATCTGAAAGTGATATATAGCGAATCAGTCGTTGTGTCTAGCTGTGTATGTGTATTACCTCGCTCTCTCTCTCTCTCTCTTTTTTGGTCTCCCTCTCGCTCGATCAGGCGCTCTCTTGCTATCTTTAAATATGCATAAAGTTTCGAGTTATGGGCTAAATATTATGTGCTCTTCATATTTATCTGTTATTATATAGAAATCAAATTGAATCAAGCACACGCAGAGCGCACTAAAGAGACTAAGAGAGAGAGATTGAGAGCGAACAGGCGAGCAGAGAGAGAGAGAGAGAGAGAGTGAGAGAGAGAGAGAGAGTGTGCGCGAGAGTGCAGGAGCACCAAATCACACTAACATCTGGTTTTCAAGTCCTTCAGTTTAATGTTAGGCTATAAGAGTTATTCCAAATACCCTACAGTTATAATATAAATCATTCACAACATATTTTTTATTGCTAGTTAATAAGAATAAGAAATATACATATTTTTCGTATATATACTTAATTATTATTTAAAAAAAAATTGTAAATGTTTTTTATATTATTATAATAATTACAATAGTTTTAATACTCAAAATTATATTTGATATTAAAAAAAAATTAAAAATAATATTTACAAATATATGATTATATATTAAATATTTAATATGTAAAATAAATATGTGGCTAAATATTTAAATTATTTTATTTTAGATTCAAATTTGAGTTGTCAGAAACTGGGAAGCTTCTCCGTATCAAAATTCTATCTATAGAAATCATTTTGCGTAGAGCATCGCTCAGTCGCCTGTGGGTGAGAGCAAAAGCTGTGCAGCTTCTTTAGGCACGCGCCCTCGCAGTTCTCTAAATATTTCATTGTGTATATTTTTAAATTTCCAAGTGAGAGTAAAACTTGAGAGAGAGAGACAGAGGCAGAGAGAGAGAGAGAGAGAGCAATAATTTATGATGCAAAGAAAATAAGATAAACAAACAAACAAACATACGCCCTTTAGTGGAATCATATGGAATTCGTTCCACTAAAGATCGCGTGAGCTCTGAGTGTCTTTCCTATTCCCGAAGCCATCATAATTCTACAGGTTATAGATCAGCTGTACACCCGGCGTATTAGCCATACATGTGCACAAATCACACTTAGCAACTGCTTAAAATGTGTTGAATCACTCAGGTGGGACGTTTTGCTTTGACCCCAAAGGGGCTCAAGTTTGGCCTAACCTCAGCTCGGTCATGGACATTGGGCCCATTGAGCCCATTTAGAGCTATCGATAGTGAGTCAAGAATTGCATTGTTCCGTTAGGAGCTAGTTTCCAATCCACTATTTAAGATATAAATATATATAAAAAGGCAAAATTAAAGAAATGCCAAGTCATATATAGTCATAGTCATTTTAATAAACTTACCGATAAATTGAGTGTAAGAGCGAAGAACCAGTCTTCGATATTCAAAGATGTTGAATTAGCGAATCTGTTTAGAAACTATGCCTATCGATTATTAGCCGATAGGCTCTACTAACAGTATATCGCAAGAGCACCTATCGGTACTGTTAACGCTAACGATATGTGATAAACGATAGCTGCGTGTCTGACAAATGTAAATCAATATAAATAATAAAAATATAAAATATATAAATATATTGGCATATGAATATGAATATATATATGTATCCGTTTATAAAAGCATTTTTTATTAAAATATATAACGCTTCGATTTTTAGGCCGGCGATTCCGATTGCTGCCCAAAATTTGATTTTCTTTCCACTTTATTCTATTGGTTATTATAAACACTCGACAACGAGCTGCTTGTCAATAAATAAATACATATATATATGTATAGATATATATATATATGCATATATATATGTATATATTTATATAGATATGTATTTATTTATTGACAAGCAACTCGGCGTCGAGTGTTTATAATAACCGAAAGCTAAGTTAAGTAAGGCAAAAAGAATAGAGTGGAAAGAAAATCAAATTTTGGGCAGCAATCGGAATCGCCGGCCGAGAAATCGGAGCGGATGAGCAGAGTCAATATTTTGACAACTGGCAATCGGAGTCTGACATATCACAGATCAAAAAAGTAGAGATAGCCGAGGTGTTTGCACTTGCTCTATTTGCTGGTATTTCGCTGTTGCACCCAGACATGGCCGAGCGACGTCTGAGAAAGGAACTGAATGAGCTTTACAAGCAGCAGCCAAGGAACTGCTGCGCCTGGCCCGTCACTGGCGACTTGATGCTGTGGGAGGCGGCCATCTTGGGTGTCCGGGATACGCCCTATTATCTGGGCGTGTTTTCGCTGCGACTGAAATTTAATAGCAACTATCCGTTTGTGGCGCCGCGCGTTCACTTCCTCACTAAGATCTACCATTGCAACATCGACTTCGATGGCTACATCTGCTGGGATCTGCTGAGCACCAAGTGGACGGCCCTGATCAATGTCTCCACCATATTGCATGCGGTGTGCGCGCTGATGCGCGAGCCCAACACCGACGATCCCTGTGACGAGATGATGGCGGCCCTCTATCGGGACAACCGCACGGCGTATTTCAATAATGCAATTGATTGGACGCTGCGCTATGCGATTGCACCAAGCATGAAGCTGCCGCCACTGCAGCTGCCGTGCAAGTCGCTGATGCTGGATCAGCAGGACGAGCATGGCCACGACCATGGGCAGTCGGAGCCAAGTGACGGCGACACGAGCCAAGAGGAGCTAACGGACGAGTCTGTTTTCATTATTTAAAATATAGCTGAAGGATAAACTGCGTTGCGATAGACGTTTTGCGTGTCTTCTTTTCTTGCTAGAGACTAGACTAGAGGCTTCAAGCCATGAGTGACTTTATATATATACATATATATATATATATATTAACTGATTAATTAACTAGAGCAACTGCATTTGTAATATTTGACTTCAAAGTGAATTGCATTTTCACTCTGCTAACTGAGCTTGAAGCTGACCTTTTTGAGTTAAGGCGAGCTCAGTATTTCAACTTTTCGTTATGTATTCAAGCCTAAAGACTTAAAGATACATCTATATATATATATATACGTAAATATATATTTATTTATAGTTCTGCAAGTACAAGTGGAATATGGAGGCATTAGCCCATTACCCATTTAGAGCACCTTAATGAAGAACTGACAATTAAGTTAAAGCTATTTAATATTAAATTATCAAATTGTTTTTGTATTTTATATATGTTTATATATAATTTACTTGCCAGTTCGACAATTCACGTTACAAAAATTTGATTCTCTTGAGCTACTTTGTTTTTGGAATGCTGAAGCTTATTGGGTTTCAGTTGCTGATTTATTGACACCATTTCAGGGGCAGGCGAATGCGATTTGAATGCCATAAATCAGTGAAGGGAGACAATAATAACGGAATATGACGCAGTTAAGTGAAACGCCACACTTTAGATACCCTATTGCAGATGCTTCTTTAGTAAAGTCTCCAAGTTTCGCAGTGGGTCACAAAGTGCAAATACCCTTTGCAAGCGCTCAAACATATTGCCTCCACTTATGTATATATATTCTATTATATTATATTATTGATATGCAACCCAAAAACTTAATCAAGCGAAAATTGAAGGACGACTTCTATTTTCTTGTTTTGCTGGCCATTTGCGTGCCAGAATCTGGCCGAGCGCTTAGTCAGTTAAAGAGTTTTGCTCTTGCTTTCAATCTTAAAGATACATTTGTATCTTTGCCCTTGCACACACATAACATATAGTCGCGTGCGTTGTGCTTATAACTAAGCTGCTCTCTATGTAACTAGCCATTGCATGCGGCCGTTGCTTGGAGCCACTGCTCCTGGGAACCGCAAGAAACTCGACCAGCTGTTGGCTTCGACAATTGCATGCAGCGCCTCAGATACATTTACTAATAAATGCACTTGCCATATACATTTGTGGATGATGCAGTATTCTACTTTCCTTCCCCTCTAACTCTCTTCCTTTCTATGTATCTCTCTCTCTTAGTATATATAAAAGGCATAAAGGGACTTAGGAGGCAAGAGCTGAATGCGGTTTGCTCCATATGCATCTCAGAGCAGAGCGAATGCTATAATCTAAGAGCCAAAAAAACCTCAAGCGCGTTTTATGTGTTTGATATAAATTTAATAGATAAATAGACGTAATTTTATGAGCAATACGAAACTTTAAGTTCTCAGATTTTTAAAGTTAGAAGTTCTGAAAGGAAATAATTTCATATGAATTTTACGGAGAACTAAGACTTTCCATCTTCTATCTTCCATCTTATATATATATATATATATATATATATATATATATATATATATATTTACAATATATATCACACGATTTGTTTAGGTTAAAAAAGAATGAAATGTAAATTCCTATGGAAATAAAAGAGGCGACATTTAGAGGGGGTACGGCGCAGTAAGTCGCTGGCACACTTTGAAGCACATGATATACATATATATAGCTATACAATATATACATTTATTTGTATATATGAATATATATATATTATCGGGTGTCCAGCTTGCATGTTTACGAAGACATCGACAAATTCCAATTGCCATTGTGCGCTGCTCTATAAATGGCAGCAAGCGCTGGGCTTATGATATTGAGGGTCAAGCACTTTGGCTGACTGGACAACAGGGTTGCTGGGCAGTGGGGTTGGGGGCGAGGCTGGGGCAGCAGCCGAGACACGAGCTGAGCAGCATAGAAAGGGCTATTCACGTCGTACAATCAATTGCTATTAGTTTTCATTACAGTCAAATTACCATAAAATCACATAGACCGTTAGTTGAGTTCGTGCCTTACGGGCTGTCCGCGTTGCCATTTGTCGCTGCCAGGGTTGCCACCTGACTGCAATGTACACACTTTTTCGATATTCATAGAATAATTACACTTTATCAAGACGGCGCACTTCATGAATTAACACAAAATGAAGCTGTGGCTGGGGCCCAAAGGGGCGGAAGCTGAATTCCGAAGGCGGAAGGCGAATCGAGTGGGGCGCTCTTCGTTTCACTCCAGTTTCGATAGTTTCCTTTGGACTGCAGCTGCTGTCCTTGCTGTGGTTGGGAAATTAGTCAAGTTTGTTACGTTTATGTGAGAGAATTACCGTAATTAGAATATATTGAGCAATAAAAGTGATTTTTATTATTGGAACGCACAACGTGAACTCGGACAGGGAGCATTGATGCCAGAGCTGCTGCTGCCGCTGCTGTTGTCGCTGATGACGGCGACGCTGGTGACACAAAGGCTACAGGATACAGGATACAGGGCCGTTAGGGCTCAGGTATATCAATTGGAATAACTGTAATGGGGTCAGAGGACATTGTCGACGTTTCTGGCCTTTTGTCGGACATTTTGTGCGGCTTCTTTTAGCCACTGGCCATTAAATGGCTGCAGCACACACTTTTCTTATTGTTGCAAGCAAAAAGGCAGTCGAGGCCGAGAACGAGACCGAGACCGAGGCCGAGTGAGGCTGTTAAGGCACTTGAAGGAATACCCATAGAGCGGCAGTTCCAGCCTGAGCTCTTTAAATGAAAATATGGCCAAGCCTTTCGTATTGGCTTTTGTATTAGCTGAAACAGTTAAAAGATGGCAAGTTAAAGAGCTTAAAACGTTATATTGCTCATGCGGGTGGGGCGCTAACTGGTTGCTAGAGTATGGGAAAAGGTATCGAAGACAATCGATGCATGTTAGACAATGGTTGGGACTCAACTGAGAACCTTTTGATTTGAAGCAGCCCGAAGTGTGAGTTTTGGCAAAAATTGTTGTGTTGTTTGTCTTGGAGTTTGTGTGACAAGATTCGATGGATATTCTTAAGCATAGCATTAAACAAAATTGCTGTCAATAAGAAGCTCAAAAATTGTTGATTTCAGAATCGATTTCGAACTTCTGGCAGGTCTGTGCACATTCTTCATTCTAGAGGAGCTTCTATGTATCATTGGCTCTCAGATATTCAAAAGATAACATTTTTCTAAATTGAATTTCATTGAAAGTCGATAATTCGATGCGTCGGAATTTTCGAATAGAAATGTTGAATGAGAGAGTTTTTATAGTTGCAAATTACAAATGGATTTTGGCCATTGTCAAGCTACAATATCAGCTGTGTCTATGGAGATAACGGTAAATGTTTTTAACTATGTGGCAGCACTGCCAGTTGCCACAAGCAGCAGCAGCAGCAGCAGCAGCAGCACTCAACAGCTGTCCCATACGCAAAATGTGTAGCACTTCATAAAGACTGTGCCGAAAATTAACTTTGACACACACTCCAATAGCCAAAGGCCTCGCCCTCGCTCTCTCCCTCTCACTCACTCTCTGCGTGTGGGTGTGAATACCATAAAAACGCAGCTCATTGGCTCCTAAACATGCCGTTTATGAGCACAGACACACACGCAAGGCAGGCCGAGATAGGAGTGTTGAGTGGATGCTCGTCTCTGCAGTAAACGGAACATGGACTAAGTACTGCTCCGTAGCTGTCATAGAGCTGACCATAACGTTGCATTGTGTGATTACATTGACTGTGAGTGTGTCCAAGTCTCACTCCTCCTCTCTCTCTCTCTCTCTGTGTGTGTGGTGGCTGCCAAGCAGCAAATGTCAATAGCCAAAAGCAGCTGTCAAAATACAGACACTCTATGTGCCCGGGCTGTTAATGTAATTTGACAATGAATCGTTACGTCTAAAATCTGACTGTACCAAAGGACCTAGCGACTTTTCGACCTTCCGGCCTTCGGCGTACCCATGTGTGCGGAGTTCAGAGTTCAGAGCACTCGTCGTCATTTCGTTCTATGCAACTTAATCGATTGGCATTGCGGCATTTTAGGGCATTTTCTAGGTAATCGACTTTGATGGCCACGCAGAGACAGCGAACGGCAACTTAATGAGTTGCTACTCGCGCGAGGGGCGATATGTCTGTTGTAGTACATAAATCGCGGCTGGTCGTTTATGAAAACATTTGGCGAGATCGTTAAGTTCGAATACGCATTAAACGTTGGCACTTTGGGCCGCCATTTTGTTTTGCTTTCCGCCGTGCCAGGCGCAATGCAAAAAGCTTGTGCCCCAAGCGAAAAAGAAAACAACGTATTTTAATAGAGCCGCACTTTCATAATGCCCTCCTAACGGCCTTAATGCGTGTGCACTTAAATCTATAATATAAGAATGCATAAAATATTGCATAGTATAAATTATAAGGGCCGTAGCGCGTTTTAGGCTGGACCTGTTTTGCGAAAGGCGCTTAGTGTTGGAGCTTTACTAGCAGGAGCGGTTAAGCTTAAAAGCTTTGTGAGCTGTATGCAGTTGGTAAGGCTTCAAAATCAGGGTGGTTAGGCGATAAGCTTAAGAACTCATTATCCGATAAGCTTTTAGGCAAGCGTCAAACTAGGGAATTAAACAATTTAGATTCGATTATTTTAAGTTGGAGATATATATTTACAGAATCAACACAGATGCCTTAAGGAACTGATTATCAGGAGAGCTTTTAAGCTCATGGAAATAGTAGATTAAATCTGATCTACTTTTAGCTGAAAAGGTCTATATATATGTAAAGCCTTAAGCAAAATAACTTGTGGTTTTAGTAAGCAGATTAAATGAGCTTTTAAAATAAAGGCCCAAAATAAGTTGAAAATTTAGCTCAATATATATATAATGAATTTAAATTTTGAAAGTTTCAAATAAAGCGTTACTCAAAGCTTTCGCTTTTAGTTGAAACTGTCACAGCTATAAGAAAGGTCAGACCTTATTTTGTTGTAGGGCATTGCTTACGCTTAAAAGCTCAGACAAGCTTCACTGCTAGTTTAAGCTTCTTAAAGCTTCAAGTATACAGCAAAAAGCAAAGCTTTTACTTATAGTATAGAGTCATGCCTGGTGACAAGCGCTGAAGTGATCTCTTCATCGGTTCAATATCTGATATTTTATAATTAAGTTGTAATTGAAGCTTACAGTTGATTAACAGATTGATTAATATAGATGCAGAGCCTGCAGCTATCACTGCAGTTAAGGTCCAGCCTAAAAGCAAGATAGCAAAATTGCATTAAATTAATGCTATGTTAACGCAAAATTGCGTTTACAAATCCAATCTGCCAGTTGCCAGTTGCCAGTTGCCGGTTGCTAGCGCCGATAAATGAGTGGCGAGATGGGCGGTTATGGTCAGAGGACCACATTGGATTACAGGCTGCACGGTCAGCTTTGTCAATGGAGTAGGGCGTGTGGAAGGGCTTGGCTTGGACCTGGTGAAAGCCGAGCCGAGCTGTAATTCGGACAGCATCTTTTGGACCACTTGAGGCTGGCTGTGTATCTCCAGTAGCTGCTGCTGCTGCTGCTGCAGGCATTCATTTGCACAGTCCGGGTTTCGATTTGTGGTTGGACCAGCTCTTGAAAGCCAAGTGCCAGCAGGTGTGTCAGGTGTGTCAGATGTGTGTGTGCTGTAAAAACTTAACAAGCTGGTCAGGCGGCCAAATAGATAAACTGGCGTCACATGCTCCGCAATTTGACTCCATTGCACATCAGCTTATGTGCCAGGTGTTGGCTAAGGCACACACATTCCACACACACACACATATACACACAGGTGCATGCCAGAGACAAGCGTTTCAGATTTACAAAACATTTTATACATTGAGGGCGAGGGTCGCAAGTTGCAGCTCAGATTCGGCAGGGCTGCCTTCTATGTTTGCGGTGGCCAGGGACGACTGTTGATGCCACTGCCACTGCCACTGCCACTGCCACTGCCACTGCTGCTACTGCTACTGCAGCAATTGCAACACGTCCATCAGTGGCCCATTGTCTGTGTCGCGCATACATAATGAAGTGGACCAGAACTGTAGCAATGTGTCTGCCCCCAGCCTCCTCTACCTTCTCCACGCCTGTTGCATTCATCTGCAGCAGTTCCTGTTCCGCCTCACCTGCCTAATGACGATGCCAATGCTGATGATGATGATGCAGATAATGAAGCTACTGTTGCTGCCATTTTTGGGGCTGCAGCTGGCGATTGGCTGACTGTTTGTTAGCGCGCTACGTGGCCGGGCGCCGAGGGCTTAGAGAGTGAAAGAAGAAGCGCAAGTGGAAGTGACAGTGGCAGTGGCAGTGGTGCTCGTTCTGTGTATTGAAAGAAGCGCAATTAGCACTTCGATTGTGTGTCAGGTTGACGCGATTTGCATCAAATTAATGTCTTCATCAACGGACAAACAGAGGCGACAATTTGTATACACGAGCGAACGTAACATTTTCGACAAAGGTCGTAAAAACAGCTTAACAATTGAGAGGGAGACAGAAAGATAGAGACAGAGAGGGAGAGAGAGAGAGAGGGGCTGGCCATACTTTAAGTCTATTTTGTAATCGGGCAGTTAACAAAGTTCACTAATCAAGTTGAGTCTTTGGCTGTGATACCAGATTGTCTCTGAAAGAGGTGCTCCTGCTTGAGTGATGAAACGATTTGAAGCTGGGAAACTTTCTGTTTAAACGAAGCTTTGGTTAATCTTAGCTTAAAACTTACAGCTGGAAGCTTTTCTGATACAAATGATTCCGGCCTTAAGGAGTCAGCACATACTAAACATAAAATCTAACCTACATCAAGTAGGCATATCTAACTCTCAATCATATATATATATACAAAGCCATTCGACAGTTATTCATTACAACCTGCGAAACGCTTCAACTACTCTCGTACATCGTCTAAATATATATATATATTTTTATTATTTGTAATTTCATATAATGTATTCTTCTTATTGTGCGGAAACCGACCGTTTTTGTTACTCGCTGTGCTCATTCAATCCCTTCGGCGAGGTGAAGCAGGTGCAATATGCCAACAACTGTAGCTTGAGGGGCGAGCCGGCCGTGGGCATTGTGACTGAAGAGGGCGTCGTGCTGGCCACCGAGAAGAAGATGATGATGAAGTATGCCATCGGCAGTACGCTCAAGAAGTTGCAGCAAACTGGCAGCTATATGGCCATGACCTACTCGGGCTTGGCACCCGATTTTCGCGTTCTCTCAAAGCTGTTCCACAAGATGGCTTGCAAATACGGCATCATTCATGATAACGTAATGCCTGTCCCTAGTCTGATGATGGCCATTTCCAGTACCATGCAGGAGTTTACCCAGTCGTCCGGTGTGCGTCCCTTTGGCTTGGCACTGCTGCTCGGCGGCTGGGAAAACGAAGCTGGGATCCTTTATCACCTGGATGCCTCTGGCTCGCAGCAATGTTACAAGGCCTGTGCCATTGGGCGCTACACGAACGATCGGACGTCCTTTCTGGAACAGATGTACACAGCGAACATGACAGTCGAGGAGGCAATATCACTAGCGATTCGGTCCATTCAGTTGTACAGCACAAAAAGCCTTCTCGCCAACCAGATCGAGGTTGGAGTTCTCGATGAGGACGGTCTATATCGTCTAAGTAAAAAGACCGTCAGTAAATATCTATAAAATATCAGCTAGGTTTCCAACGCAGCTAGTTTCATATGGAAATGTTTGGATGGAACGATTGGAATGAAACATTGGACAACTTTACAATACAAATCAAGTGTGGGTAGTCGGTGAACGCTTGGAATGAAACACTTCTCATTTTTACATTACAATTCATGCCACGCTAAGTGTGGTACAGGTGGAATGAAACGTTAGTCCATTATTTTCCAATTCAGGCGCTGATGCTTGGAATGAAACATTCGCGTTTTTAATTAAAATTAGATATGAAATATAAAAATATTGATCACTAGTTAGTTATGGAACACTTGGAATGAAACATTGGTCTTTTTTTTTAACTAAACCAGACGAAATAAAGAATGAAATTATGTAATTTATTCCAGTTAAAACGCGAGACATGGGCTCTGCTAGAACAAGGAACGGTGAAATGAAACACATTAAGTTTTGTTAGGCATTTGAATAACGCGCGTCTCCATTCAAGCAAACACCGCAAACAATGTACCAATAAATCAATCAATACGCTACAATGGAATGAAACATATTTTCTATAGTTAAGTGCGAAATGGAGCAAATGCGAAACGCGATAAGCTGCAATGTTAGCTGAAAGATTTGTTGCTCCGCGCTAAACTTTCTCACTTTATGCCTCTCCCCCTCTCTCCAGAGACATTCTCATCTATTGCAACGATCTGTTGCATCTGATTTGATGCATTGTTCTTGGATTACAGCCAAGGGAGAGGTGGAGAGAGACTAAGCAAGTGGCATCTGCACAATGCAGGATGGCAGGATGTGAACTGGTGCACGACGATGACACGGACACGGAGGCCGAGGCCGAGGACGAGGACGTAACATAGATGAGGATGATGATATTTTGCACTCTTCCTTTCCCGTTGCAGATGTGTCAAGTGGCACTTGCGGCACCGCTTGACCGGAGAGCGGGCATGCCCCGGCTTACGGCTGGCTGCCGGGACGCTGAGGCCGGCATTTCACCTGGCGACCGGAGTTGTCGTGTTTTTGTCTCCCGGCATCCTTTATTTATTTATTTTCTTGCCCGGGTTTTGGTTTCCCAGCCATTCCCTGTTTTCTCTGCGTTTTTTTTTTATACTTTTATTTCATTTGCCTTCAATGCAATTATACTGGATAAATATCTTCTTCCGTTTTAGCTGTAATTACAAAAGTTTAATTGAGTTTTCTCGGCTCGTTGTGTTCGTTTCTTTTTCCCTACTTCATTTTTTGTTTTGCACTTGTTTTTGTCCTGTTGTCGTCGTCGTCGTCGTCGTCGTCCTCCTGTTCGCCGCTCGTCGACATTTCTGGCGCTGGCTGTCGTTGCGGCTGGCTAGGAACTTTATCCAGCATCCCCTCTCTCTCTCTCCTTCTCTGTCTGTCTGTCTCTATGTTAAGTCGTCGTGGCAGTGAAGCTGTCGCCGTGGCTGCCGCTGACGCTTTTTTCCCCATCTGGATCTGTCTCCAGCTGTATATTCTTTTTTTATTGTTGATGTTGCAAAAAAAAGAGTTGTTTTCAGCCTGCGAGGCCTGTCTATCTGCTGCCACGTGATTGTTTTTCGCCACAACAAGAGCGGGACAGCTAGACGGGCAGTGAGAGTGTGTATGAGAGGGAGAGAGAGGCAGATAGGCTGTCAGACTGCGGACCGCCTGAGGCTGAGTGATTTCTTCTACTTTGAACGTCCCAAGGACAGGCGTAATAAAAAGTGATTAAAACTGAGCGCAATTTGACTTAAAGCCGTCTGCCCTAACCTCACTCGAGCAGTGCTGCCAATTTGTTTTAAATAAATAGCGAAAGTGTTGAGTAACGGCGCAAAGCAACGAGCATGCCTCACATGACAGTTGCTCTTGGATTTTAGCTGAGCACATAAGGATGAGCGCTACAGATTCTGGTTAATTTATTCATTGCAAATTTACATGCTCATGTTTGCAAATTTAAAAACTACACACACACACACACATACACACACGCAGACAGACACACAGAAAGCGAAAGAGACGGCAAATGCACAGTTAGAAAGAGTGTGACAGAGAGGATAAGACCGAGTTCTGGGGCCGTGCAAGCGAGTTTATTCAAAGCAGACTCTCCTAGTAATATGTAAATCGCATTGGCAGTGCCAAAGTGGAATTTGCTCAGAGTCAGCAGCCTTCCCAGTTGCAACTGCAACCGCAGGTCCACCTCAACAGCGCTTCACTGCCGTTCGCCATCCTCTGTGTCCTCTACCACATCCACATCCACATTCACATTCGCATCAGCGCCTCCGTATGGCGAAACGTTCAGTTATTTTCCTATGGGAAAAATCCACTTGACGCTACCCCAATATTTACATATCATAGTTGGCTCCACAAATGAATTGGTGTGAGAAACACAGAGAGAGACAGAGATGGAGAGAGGAGAGTGGCAAAAGAGAGTGGAAATACGTGCCAAGTAAATGCGACGTGTTGCGTTAAACACTCAAGCCTATTCTATATATATATATAATATTCATATATGATGTTATGCATTTTATGAGAAAAGTCTAGCAAAAAGAGGGCCCCATACATTTGTGTATACGTAACTTTTCTATATATTGCGCAATTCTTAAAGAAGGTCAAGAAATAAATAAAAAAATAAATTCCCTATTTATAAATCCATCAATCCGTTCACATTTATCATTCTAGCAACTGACTATAAATTTTCAAAAATATTTTAACGTTTTTAATATATTTAAAGGTCCTAGAATCTTGCACAATTTTCAGATATTGTTTTTAAAAAACCTCAAATAACTGTGATGCTTTTTCTTAAATTTGCTCATCTCATTCGATTCGTTCTACATTTTGAAGATATATTCAAGATCTCTAGATCTTAATTGAATTGAATTGTAGATCAACAATTCAAGGCAATCGTTAAATATTCAGACCAAAGGTTTTCAATGCAATTTTGAGACGAAACGAAGTAAGCTGCAAGTTGTAGATTCATTCTCATGCGACACTTTTTTAATAGAGGAAGAAGTTTGTGTTTTTTATGTAGTTAATTCCATTTTCATGCTTAAGCGATTTGAAGAGCTTGACAAGCTCATTTCACCCTCTTCAGGCTAAGCTACGTTTAATAAAAAAGAAGGAACTTTTTCAACAAATGTAATATAGCAAATTAGATACGCCTGAGTAATCGAATATTTATGATGAGACATGAACAGCAACCATACATATATATATATATATGTATATAGATATATATAAATATAGCTGTATATATAGGTGTCCATGCTACACATAACTACACGCTGTGGTCAGCCAGAGACGGCCACACACACACAGTCCGGGCGAGAGGTGCGCAAGGTGTGTGTGTCGCTTGTCAAAACAAATCCGTAAGAGATTACATTAAAAGGCGCATTTGGACAGCTCAATCGCAAAATAGAATACACCTATACGAGCAGACAGACAGACGTACGTAACTTTATATAAAATATCTATATTTATATGTAGTCAATGTGGAGTGCATGCGAAAATATCCCCGTTGGATTTGCCAGACGCCAGCGTGCACCCAACTCAAGTCGAGTCCTCGAGTCCTTAAGTCCCTGTATCCCTGCTCCTTCATCGCGAATATTTTCCTTTTACTATTTTTGTTTTATTTCTCTTTGTGTGTGTGTGTGTGCGCTGGAATTGATGGAAAGTTGTGTAATGCGAACTGACAGCAGTTTTCATTACGAATTCATGTGGTTTACTATTTTTTACCTTTTTTTTATTCGATTTTCGAATGCGCTGTGGTTGGAGCTTAAAATATGAACAATGTTTGCTTAGTACCTTGATTCGAGTTTATTAGTTGAACTCTTTTGGAACTCCAGATTCTGGACTTGGAGTGGCATTTGAGACTTGAAAGTTGAACTAAAGACTTGGGACTGGAGACTTGAGGGACTTGAGACTTAGAACTTGGACTCGGACTTGTAGGTTAATTTGGGCTTGATTTCGACTTCGACTTCGACTTCGTTTTCAACTTCGACTTCGACTTCGACTTCGACTTCGACTTCGATTTTGAAATCAAATTCGACTTCGAATTCTACTTCGACTTCGATTTTGACATCAACTTAGACTTCGACTCCGATTTCGACACAATTTTGACGTCAAAGACTTTGACTTCTCTCACTAAGGTCCCCTAAAAATTAACTATGTTTAAATTCATTCACAACCCTTAATCATATCATGTTAATATAAGTAAAAAGTGTTTAATATATTTGATGGCATTTCCCCAAAACAACAAACATAGTCTACAGCACTTATGTTGGGCATTAACCAACACTGTTTTACAGAGAAATCCCAGTAGGACGCACTGAGCCGCTGCTAACTGCACGTCAAATTAATCTCTGCTTGGCTAAACTTTGAGTCAAGCAATCAGCCATTTCCCATTTCTATATGTACATGTATTTGCACATATGTATTTGCCATTTCAAGTATAATTATGAATTAGCATAACGGCATATTATCTGCTTATTCATTTGATTGCACACAGAATGCTGGAAGACAGCAACGAACGTTAGACAAAATTCACCTTTGACCAAATTTTATCTGTGATTTGTTTGTGGCTGTGGAAATGTAAGCAAATGCTTTTAAGCCGACAAAGCTGCTTACCTTATTGCTCTTGCTGTTGCTGTTGTTGCTGTTTTTGCTGCGGATGGAGCATCTTGAGCAGACATTTCAACTGACAATTTGAAGGACTGGACACGCTTGCCTTTGTTATGCAAAGAGCTCGTCTCACTCTCTCTCGCTCGTTCTCGTTCCATCTTTTCCATCTATCTCAATTCTTATCTCTTCTCCAATTTGAATCTGATTCTGACCTTTGTGCAGGACCACAGTGGGCACTCTATAAATTGTATAACTATTTTCAATAACAGCACATAACAACAGCAGGCGTGCTTCAGGTTGGGGGATTTCCTGCGCTCATCTCCTCCAGCTCGCTTGGGCTGCCGTGGCATGAGCCAAGACGTACAGGCTGGGCGTTAAGGGTTATGACCAGGGTTGCCAGCCCTTTGCACAGGTGCGCCAGGCCAGGCCAGCCCACTGTCCCCTCTAGTTCTGGCTTCTTTCCTCTTTTTCCATTAGCCAGCACTGGGTTTTGTCTTTGCTTGTTCTCGACTTTCGGCAACTTCTTGAAAGTACTTTAACCCCCTCCCCCTCCCCCAGTGTGTGTGTGCTTATATTATTTTTATTTTTTTTTGTCTTTTGGTAATTTAGCATATTTCTAAAGCATTTGTTGTGGCTGCTGTTGTTGTTGTCGTCTGTCGTGTTTCAAGTTTTGCTTCACCGTTTGCGGTGTGCAAATGCAAATTGCTTGGCTTGCATATCCTTTATGTCTTTTGTTTTTCCTATATTTTCTTCTGGCTATACCCTAATCGAAGAGTATTACAGCTCCAGAGAAGAATATCTAAAGCTGTTCGGAGTCTCGCTCAGCTGTGGAGCAATTGTTAGGCAGGCTTTCTGGTTAGATGATTAGATGAGACTCTTGTAGGCATTTTATCATATATATACATATATATATATATACATATATA